AGAACCTCAACCCGACAATTAAAAGATCCTATAAAATTATGGGGTAGTTTTGTGGCCTTTGGCACCAAGTGTCTTGGATCCGTACAGAAGATTAATGAAGACAGCTCTTGTCTCAGAGTTATGGCTACCCCATTGCTGGAGATTAATGGGGTAGAGATTAATCCAGAATGGTATAGGCCAGGGGTAGGCAACCTTGGCTCTTTTATGACTCGTGGACTTCAACTCCCAGAATTCCTGAGCCAGCCACGCTGAGGGGAAAGGGAGAGGTTTCCAAGCTGAGCCATGCTGGCTCAGGAATTCTGGGAGTTGAAGTCCACAAGTCATAAAAGGGCTAAGTTTGAAGACCCCTGGTATAGGGTCTCCTGCTTGAGCAGGGGGTTGGACTAGAAGACCTCCAGGGCCCCTTCCAACTCTGTTATTCTGTTGTATTCTGGAGCCAAGCAACCAACCTACAAACCCCTCAGAATCCAAATCAACCACACAGCCCACCAGAGACAGCACCGACCTCAAACAATACACGCCAGCCCCCCTCCCACCAGCAGTTCACCCCCCCAATGACCCTGACTTGATGTAACCTCCCCATCACAACATCCATCACAAGACCCTCACTGATGACTCAGACCTGACCCATCACAAGACTCTCAGGTGACACATCCACACCTGAAGCCCTTATGAACATTGACATCCCCTCAACTCCGCTGAAGATGTCACCTAGCCTGGTAACGAAATATTTGGAAACCAACCCATCAGCTCAGAGAACGTACCTTCACCCTCATCCTACAGACTCACACCTGACCCATCACAAGACCCATCACAGACCCTCACTCGACACACCCACATCTGAAGCCCTTATCAACAGAAGAACACCGACACTGACGTCCCCTCAACTCTGCTGAAGATGTCACCTAGCCTGGTAGCAAAAATTCGGAAACCAACCCACAACCTCGAAGAACGAACCTTCACCCTCACCAAACATAATGCCCAGACTTAGAAACTCTTTCTGAGAGCCATTGAGGTCACTTTGAGGTTCTTCTGTACCCTCAGAGACATCCGAGTCAGAGTGCAAATGGGTGTGGAAACTTCTTGGAACTGCTGAAAGGACCAGAAATAGGTGGTGTTGTATCCCTTCCCCTCTGTTGTGAGGGGGCTGTTCCATCTTAACGTAGATGGTTACCAGCATCAAATTGCTGGTTGTGCAGTTCACAAGTAGGCTGGCTTGGTCGCTCAACAGCGAGACCCCGGTGAAGCGGGCACAGCAGTGCCTGCATTTTCCGCGTCGCATGAGAAAAGCATGTCTTCCTTCCCCTGTCCTTATCACTTTCTACAGAGCGACGATCGAGAGCATCCTGTCATATAGCATCACAGTCTGGTTTAGAAGCATCCCTGCTTCGGACAGGAAGGCGGTGCAGAGAGTGGTGAGGACAGCAGAAAAGATCATTGGCAGTTCCCTCCCTTCCATCCAGGACATGGCACAGAAGCGTTGCTTGAGCAGGGTCCGTAAGATTGTCTGGGACACTACACACCCTCTCCATGACCTGTTTTCCTTGTTACCTTCTGGGAGGGGGCTCCGTGGTATCCGAAGCAGAATATCCAGATTGTCACAGCTTTGTTCCATACAGTGTCAACCTTGTGAACTCTAAAGCTTCCTCCTTCCGTTATGTACTCAAGATGGACAGTGATTAATATGTATCTGTTACTTATATGTAAGGGTGTAGGTCTATACATATGTTATATATAGTGCGTGTTATGTATGTGTACACTTTGAGAGGAAGCAACTAAATTTCATTTTTTAATGTGTGCCATTGTGCCCACAGGGAAAAATGACGATAAAGGTTATCTAGTCTCTTTGACTCTCTTTCAAACCAATGGTCCTCTCTGCCCAGAATGTGGACTTTGTTGTCTTTAAAATGCAGATGGGTCGCTGGATCTTGTCCTTTGGGATAACCATGACTGAGGATCTCCATAGACATCTGGTAACCCTAGACCAGGGGTAGGCCACCTTGGCTCTTTTATGACTTGTGGACTTCAACTCCCAGAATTCCTCAGCCAATTTTGCTGGCTGAGGAATTCTGGGAGTTGAAGTCCACAAGTCATAAAAGAGCCAAGGTGGCCTACCCCTGCCCTAGACATGCCCAACACCTGTTCACACAACACATGTTTAATAGAGCTACAGCAAGCTGCCAGTCAGCAGAAAGGAACTAATAGAAAAACACAGCTGAAATGCTGCAGGATATTATCATTCATTCTCTCTGGAGATGTTCCCAGTCCAAAATCCGCCCCCCACTCCAGTTTGTTAAAAAAATATCCGGAATTTGGATGGAAGTAATTACCAGTCAAAAAGACTAGGGTAACTTCGGAGAAGTTTTCACAGCCAAGTCAGATCCCTATAAAAGATTCAAATTTTTTTTATGTCATACTTAGAACATCATACCCTTTCTCTAGAGGAAAAAATTCTATTTCTGTACAAGAGAATATACGTTAGCTAATTTGAAAAAGTCCTACTTAAATTCCTCTAATGTGTTCTCCCCACTGCTGAATATTAATTGTTCTTTGTTTTACTCGGTGCATTAAACTCTTGAGGTATTAAACAGTTTCGGTTACTTCTTCAGCTTCGACCATTATGTTCTTCTCAGATTCTTCTGCTTAGCCGCCACAATCCACGTAATTTTATGGTACAGATGGACACCTGCTAATGTGAACATTTCCTGCCTTCTACTAAATAAGGTCACTGATGGATCTCTACAGGACAGTCTGTCCAATCTTGGTGGCTCTGAGACTTTTGGACTTCAACTCCCAGAATTCCCCAGCCAACCGATTTATTGCTAAGCAACCTATGCTTAGAAATCTTCTTAACAGTCAGCACCTGCCTGGAATTAGACAAGAGTCCACAGAATCCAAGGAAGGCTGGACTTAGTCCACTGGTGGCTACGTAGGGATTCTAGGCTGATTCCTCTTTTGACTCCGCCTCCAGGTTCTCTCCCATTATCTCTACCCAGATAATGTCATTGTCCTGCCTCCCATCACAATGCCATGCCTGCCATCTTGAATGATTCTGACACGTACCCTGTCCACTCAGCTGGCTAGCACCATTTAGGCTTGCTCTGAACCAGGACTTTTTTTTTTTTTAACCTACTTCAAAAACTGGAACATATTGGAAAAACCAATTCAGCGTCCCCCGTAATCGGGATTAATAATTCAGACTGCAGCTGACAAAAGCAAAGCATCTCCCATCTTGATCTTTTCACCATCTTCACTAGAAGGTGGGCTTTTGAGGAAGCCAGCCTGCAGATGAATCTTTCATTCAACATTGTTTAATCTAGGTCAGCGTCTCTCAACGCTGGCAGCTGGAAGATGGATGGACTACAGCTTGCTGGCTGGGGAATTCTGGGAGTTGTAGTCTACCCATCTTCCAGCTGCCGACGTTGAGAGACACTGGTCTATGTGAATGACTTGGCTACCCATTGGGGGAAAAAACCTTTGTTAGAGGGAGGGATCCAGGAGACCAGGGCATGGCACTAAAAAGCAGAGACATCACCCTGCCAACAAAAGTCCGTATAGTCAAGGCCATGGTTTTCCCAGTTGCAATGTATGGCTGTGAAAGTTGGACCATAAGAAAGGCCGAGCGCCAAAGAATGGAGGCCTTTGAACTCTGGTGCTGGAGAAGACTCCTGCGAGTCCCCTGGACTGCAAGGCGATCCAACCGGTCAGTCCTAGAGGAGATCAACCCCGACTGCTCTTTAGAAGGCCAGATCCTGAAGTTGAAACTCAAGTCCTTTGGCCACCTAATGAGAAGGAAGGACTCCCTGGAGAAAAGCCTAATGCTGGGAAAGATGGAGGGCAAGAGAAGAAGGGGACGACAGAGAAGGAGGTGGCTGGATGGAGTCCCTGAAGCAGGAGGCGTGAGCTTCAATGGACTCCAGAAGATGGTAGAGGACAGGAAGGCCTGGAGGAACGTGGTCCATGGGGTCGCGATGGGTCGGACACGACTTCGCAACTAACAACAACAACAACCGAGCCACTGTCCCTTCCCCACATTTAATAAGCACAGGAGGAGGGGGGGGGATGTTGGCCAGTCTGCTGCCGAAAAGGACGCACCCCGCTTGAAAGATAAAGATGTAACCAGGATAGATTTGCATGGAACGGTGCCACCACAGCTGCTGTGCCCAATTATGGCTATGTCGAATATATATATATATATTAAAAAAAAAACCCTGTTAATAGTCTCAGCGTGTTGGCTGGATTATCTGCTAAATAATTAATGCCCCATATTATTGTCAGCAGGTGCTTCGACAATTAACCTCTGGCTATTTAATTGGTAATTTCTGCCAGGCTGAAGCGGGCCATCCTTAAACATGAATCTAATACAGAGAGACAGAGAAAAAGAAACATTTTGGCCGTCCGAATCCTTCAATCGTAAGAATAATATCCGTGAGTAATAAGTTCTGAAGGCAGACAGTCTCCCATTTTGGATTCAGGGGTCTTTTGCCCATTCAGCTGGCGTCTATGGCGTACAGGCGATCCTCGACTTGTTATAATTCACTTAGTGACCGTTCGAAGTTACCACAGCACGGGGGAAAAAGTGACTGATGACCGTTTTTCAGAGTTACGACCGTTGCAGCATCCCCAGGGTCACATGGTCAAAATTCAGACACTTGGCAATTCAGACACTCATATTTATGACGGTCGCAGTGTTCCCGGAGTCACGTGATCCCCCTTTTGCGACCTTCTGACAAGAAAAGTCAATGGGGAAGCCAGATTCGCTTAACGACCGTGTTACTAACTTAACAACTGCAGTGATTGACTTAACAACTGTAGCAAGAAAGGTCATAAAACGGGAGAAAACTCACCGAACAAATGTCAAGTGTAACAGATAAATTACATTTTAGAAACATGGGAATGTAAGGGCTTTTATCTGCAATGAAAACATTAACGTTACAGTAAATGACAAATAACAATGTTTCGGTAATCAACTGAGGGAATATTTAAATTTAGGAACTGACCTGATGCTCGTCTCGTGAAGCGGTTAATCACAGGGGCTAAAAGAAATGAAAGACAACAGAGAGGGCATTAGTCACTATCAAAGTAAAATACACACACGTGCGGTTTTCCAAGCTACGTGAACGCAGTTTTTAATCCATTATAATGATCACAATTCATTTCCGTAAAACGGCTGATAAAAATTAAAGTCCCGCCTGGGATGAAATTGCTCCAACTGATTTCTTGGGAGGGAAAGAAATAATGACTTTATGAAATTCAAAGGAATGAGGAAAAAAGTAACGGGGGGGGGGGGGGGAGAAGGGGAAGGAACAGAAAGTCAAATATTAAATTCCACTTTGATGTTCACTTCTCTTTTATCTCTCCAAGCAACAGTTCCTGTGTCTTCGGAACCAAACCCTCTTCCTTCACAATATTTGAAAATGTCATTTTTTTCACTTTTATGCACATCAGCTTTTAATTGAAATGTGGAACAATCAATCAGCTGTTTGCCTCCAACACAAAACTGCTTGTCTCAAAAACTTGTCATAAGATCCGAAAGCCACATCCAGGCAGTCCTCGACAATGGAGTCCAAAATTTATGTTGCTAAGTGAGGAATTTGTTAAGTGAGTTTTGCCCCATTTTACGACTTTTTTTGCCACAACTGTTAAGGGAACCACTGCAGTTGTTAAGTTAGTAACACAGTTGTCAATAATGATGATGATGATGATGATGATGATAATAATAATAATAAAAGTTGGAAGGGACTTTGGAGGTCATCTAGTCCAGCCCCCTGCTCAGGCAGGAAACCCTACACCAGGGGTAGGCAACCTTGGTTCTTTTATGACTCGTGGACTTCAACTCCCAGAATTCCTGAGCCAGCCACGCTGAGGGGAAAGAGGGAGGTTTCCAAGCTGAGCCATGCTAGCTCAGGAATTCTGGGAGTTGAAGTCCACGAGTCATAAAAGAGCCACGGTTACCTACCCCTGCCCTATACCATTTCAAACAAATACTTCTTTAGTAGGGCCTTTTGTGCTCTGTCCCTCCATTTCTCTTTTGGCTATTGTTTCCATCAGTTTGCCTGGAACAAAGGTTAAAACTCTGGTTTATTGTTTTCTAATTCTCCCTAGGGCAGGAGTAGGCAACCTTGGCTCTTTTATGACTCGTGGACTTCAACTCCCAGAATTCCTGAGTCAGCCTGGGTCAGCTTGGAAACTCTCCCTTTTCCCTCAGCGTGGCTGGCTCAGGAATTCTGGGAGTCGAAGTCCACCAGTCATAAAAGAGCCAAGGTTCCCCACCCCTGCCCTGTATCAGGGGTCCTCAACCTTGGCAACTTTAAGACTCGTGGACTTCAACTCCCAGAATTCCTGAGCCAGCATGGCTCAGCTTGGAAACCTCTTCCTTTTCCCTCAGCGTGCCTGGCTGAGGAATTCTGGGAGTCGAAGTCCACAAGTCATAAAAGGGCCAAGTTTGAAGACCCCTGTCGTGGGTGCTCCATCACTGGAGGCTTTTAAAAAGAGACTGTCTGAAAGGGGTCTCCTGCTTGAGCAGGGGGTTCGACTAGAAGACCTCCAAGGTCCCTTCCAACTCTGTTATTCGGAGGCTCATTCCCGTCTGCACTGGAATTTCTAATCTAGGCAAGCTACCTCTGAGTGTTTTCAACCAAGCAAGTTGAGTACAGCTATGAAATATCAAGAGAGATGCGATTATATCGACAGGTTAGGAAGCTAACTGACATTTGCACGGATTCAACTGTCGGCCGAGGAAGCAAATCCACCTGCTGGCTAATAATCTGATCCATGAATCAGTTGCAGTTTTAAGCCGATTCTGCTCAGACCATATGCTCAGCAAGCAGGCAGACGTAACCCCCATCCAGTTGCAGGGGAAAACCACACGGCCTCAGCCACTTAGCAGAAAAAAAGCTTTCTTCCACGCAGCTAATCAACTCAACAAGCTCATAAGCTCACTCTTTCTGCTTGCCCTCCTGTTTGTTTGCTTGTTCTGATCAGAAGTTCCCAAACTAACTAAAGCAGTGGCATATAAAGAAAACTCATATAAAATGTTTTACAGCTGGCATGTGACACCAGTGAGATTAGCAAAAATGTTTAAAAATACTTCGAATAACTGTTGGAAATGCAGACAAAGACCAGGTACTTATTACCATATCTGGTGGACATGCCCTAAAGCAAAAAGATTTGGGGTTAAAATACATTTATGGTTGGAGAAAAGGACTCAAAAACAAATAGACTTCAAACCAGAATTGTTTTTGTTAGGAATAATGGGAGCTAATGATGAGAAAGATTGCAGATATTTAATACTACACGTACTAACGGCAGCAAGAATTGTATTTGCCCAACACTGGAAAAACGAAAAGTACTAATTAAGAAAATTCTAGAGTGTGCAGAAATGGATAGATTTTACTTTAAAGATAAAAGAGAAAGAAGTCTCAGTGTACTTTAGAACATGGGATAATTTCTATCAATGGCTAGAAAGACGAATTAGAGAGAAAGGAATGTGATATGTAATTTTGAATATATATTAGCAAGATTGAGTGATTAATTAACATATTGTTTATGATTATTAACTATTTTCTATTACATTTATCAATAAATTTTTAGCTTATACATAACTTAATTACATTCAATCTTCATAAACAATCCATATCCTGTTATTGATTTTTACTCAGTTTTTAATTTCTTATCCATATTCCAATTTAACCTTTGATATTTATAACTTTCAGACTTTGGGTAACCAAAATTTCCCTTATCTCGCTTCATAACAAACTATAACATATAAGGAACAATTGCTGGAATTGGGTATGTCTAGTTTAACGAAGAGAAGGACGAGGGGGGACATGATAGCAGTGTTCTAGTATCTCAGGGGCTGCCCCAAAGAAGAGGGAGTCAAGCTATTCTCCAAAGCACCCGAAGGCAGGAGAAGAAGCAACGGATGGAAACTGATATCAAGGAGAGTAGCAACCTAGAACTAAGGAGAAACTTCCTGACAGTTAGAACAATTAACCAGTGGAACAACCTGCCTCCAGAAGCGGTGAATGCTCAAACACACCTTCAAAAATTCTTCTCTGACCTGTCGGTAAACAGACTTTACCACATCCCAAGGACGGACTCGTCCCCCAACCTGAGCTACTGGAGGTACCAGGGAAGGTTGAAATAATAATAATAATAATAATAATAATAATAATAATAATAATAATAATAATAATAATAATAATAATAATAATAATAATTTATTATTATTATTATATCCAAAATACATATTTTATCTATTTGAATATAATCTTGTTTTATTTCCCGAAAGTTATCTATTTCCCATCATATTAAATCATCTACTTAATAACACAATATCCCCTTTAATAAGTCAAAACCATTTTATACATATAGTGCCTGGGTTAATCAATAAATCAAACATATTCATAATATTTAACTTTCTTTTCCCTTTTAAGTCTAATTTTTAAATATTAATCCGATAAAATCCTTATTTTCAACTGGTTTCCAAATATTATAAATTTAATAACCAAAATTTCCCTTATGGGTCCTTTTATGGCCGTCCATCAAGTCACAGCTGGGATTTCATGAATCGACACCCGCGGCTGGGTCCCGAACTGACCCGTGACTGTGTTTCAAAAACTGGACTTGGAGATGAATGATTGAGGTAGCCACAATAGCCGAAGAAATTCAATATTAATCAACCCAGCAGCTTCAGATATAATCTGAAATGAATTAAGGAGCTGCAGTAGGAACGGGGAATTATTTTCTCCTGAACAGCATCCACCTTGTAAGCTAATAACTCAACACAGCCTATAACAATGACGGTGTTGTGTGTGGAAAACAACACATTTCGGTTCAGGGGAATTGCTTTCTGCCCTGCTGAGAAGAACCACAAACAGGGACCCTGTAAAGTAAAAAAAAAAAAAAAAAAGGACGAATACTTTCTGTATTCATGCTTCGGAAACAATCCTAAAATCATAAAGAAGGGGAACGTCTCCAATTCAAGCTCTGTATTAAAACAGAAGCCCGAGAATAATAGGTGTTTTTTTTTCCCCCCCAATCTTCTAACATCTTGGATAGAATCTGACCCGGTTCACCCAAACCGCACATCTCAAATAGGGGGAGTAAACTAACAGGGTTTAAAAAGAGAAATCAAGGCATTTTGGATTAAGAAATGGTGGAATATTCAAAATATTATTAAGAAAAAGATAAAAGTTTAAGCCTCAGATATTTTTGCTGGGTATTAGGGAATATTTGGATAAAAAAGAAATGGATTTGATGTTGAATTTGATAACTGCTGCAAGACTACTAGTATTTTGCCCACTATAGAAGAATGGTCACTTAAACTCTCAAATTTAGCAGAAATGGCCAAGATTTCTGCTTATGTGAAGGACTATTCGCAAGAAAGATACATTTCGGTTTGGAGAAGATGGATAGATTATATTGAGAGTAAATATGGTACTAAAAAAATTTCATTTGGTTTTTGAGTAAATTTTAGAGTATTAATGTAGTTTATATGTTATAACAGGTTACTTATTTTTATTTATAATTATTAATATGATGTTATAATTATTGTGTTTAATATTAGTATATTTGTTTAAAAGAGAGTTAAAGGGTGTTACAGATTTGTTAATCTAATCGTTGATTAATGTTAGATAGAGTATGGTTACTGTATTGTTAATTATTAATAGTTGATTAATGTTAGATAGAGTATGGTTACTGTATTGTTAATGTTAGATAGAGTATGGTTACTGTATTGTTAAGATTGGCTCTGGGAAGTGGGGGGGGAGGGGAAGGGTGGGTTCTGGGGAGGGGGGAATTATATTGTAAAACTTTTATAAAATTTTCAATAAAAAAAAAGAGAGAAATCAAAACAGTTCAGAACAGGAATGAAGAAAGACAACGGTGATACCTGATGTATTACAGGGAGGGAGGGAGGGTCCAAATTCACATAATGAGACTGAGATAAGATTTCAATCCAGGCCATTCCAGCCTTCCCTAAGAGGAGAAAAACTGCAAAATATATTCTTTTATTCCTTTGAACCTTCCTCCT